AAACATACAGCCAGAGCTACAATGGAATGGTTTAGATCAAAGCATATTCATGTGTTAGAATGGCCTAGACAAAGTAAATTGAGAATCTGTGGCAAGACTTGAAAACTGCTGTTCACAGATGCTCTCCATCCAATCTGACAGAGCTTGAGCTATTGAGTAAAGAAGAATGGGCAAACATTTCACTCTCTAGATGTGCAAAGCTGGTAGAGACATCCCCAAAAAGACTTACAGCTGTAATTGCTGCAAAAGGTGGTTCTACAAAGTATCGACTCGGGGGACTGAGTTTAGATCAAAGCATATTCATGTGCTAGAATGGCCCAGTCAAAGTCCAGACCTAAATCCAATTGAGAATCTCTGACAAGACTTGAAAATTGCTGTTCACAGACGCTCTCCATCCAATCTAACAGAAAAGCATGTATTGTGTTTTTGCTGCATTTTGCATTTAAAATCTGCCTAGCAAAAAGAAAAATTAAAAAACAAAGAAAAAATTCCACACAACGCATCAAAAAAGCGGCAAAAACGCAAGTGAAAATGCAAAATGCAATGCAGAAATGCCTCAAACGCAACCTGCATAGGTGTGAACGTAGGATGAGGGTGAGTGATCCTGATCCCACACTTTTTGTGTTTGGGGATGCTCACCGCACATCTGTCAAATTAGGATGAGCAACTGTGTCTATGCAGCCGCTGCATCCCCATACCCCTGGTTTTTAGTGCTTTTTGCAGAAACGCACTGCAATCCATTTAACACGGCTTCCTATGGGACATGTTCAAATCTATGCTTTTTTGAGCTGCTGGGTTTTTGGAAAGGGTCAGGGACTTTTTTAAATGCAAAAAGCAGTGTTTTTGCTACAGTAGAGTTCAATGGGTAAGCTGCTTAAAAGCATGTAGTGTGTTTTTGCTGCAATTTTGCCGTGGTTTGCTTTTTTTTTAACAAAAAAAAATAGCTTAACAAAAAGCAGGTGTAAAAATGCAAACCACAAAAAGCATTAAAGAACAGATCAAAAGCAAAAAGCATAGGTATGAACCAAGCCATACACTCACTTGGGCTGTCTGCATGCAGCACCTGGTGGCTCCAGCCGCATAAACAAATGACCAATTCACAGTGTTCGGACCTCAGTGCCCTTGTGAATGAGTCTTACAAGTAACTACGGTATATATCCAACTATTGAAGTAGAGTACTAATCTTAAAATGTTTATTTTTTTCTTTTATGAAAATTCCAACTTTACAGCTTTTTAATTGTGGTTAACTTTAATGGAATTCAAACAACTGTTAACAATGGTGCAATCTAAAACTATACTTATAAATGAAAATAACAAAATGATAATGTGAAATTGAAGCAAATAGTGGAAAAAGCAGCAAACCAACCATCTGGAACCCTTCTAAATAGGTCCTTTCCTGGCAGCACACATACGATGTACCACACACATGCCTTGTTCTCAGTCGGAGGAGAAAACATATGTGAGCATCAGAATAGATATTTCAGCTGTTGTCATCCGAATGTGTTAACAAGCAAGACATGTCGAAGAAATGCACAGAAAGGTATTAACATACTGTGGCTGGGTTATCGGGGGGGGGGGGGGGGGGGGGGTGTACAATTGGTTTAATTTAAAGGTGCATTAGTACCAAAAAGCTTACATCTTGATATGAACTACGTTTGCCCAGATGGTCCTCCAAAAATAACATCTCGGGGAAGATGTGTGAATGACATCAATGACAGGTGGGAAGAACCTGAAAAGGGGCGCATCCATCATCTGACATGGCAATTCCACTTCTTTGTTGTTGAGTCTCTTCATTGCTAGCCTACAATAGAAAAAAAACACATCTGGAATGTTATCAGTTATATCTATTTGTATTAGAGGTTATAAACCCCCCCAAAATTTTAATATTTTGCAGCTTACCAATCCTTAAGGCCTAGTTCACACTGGCACTGAAAGCAGGTGTTTGAGGGGCATTTTGAAAGCTTCTCAAACACCTATGCAAATGATACTATGGGCAGCACACACTGCTGTTCACATTATCAAAACATGAAGCTTTAGAGTCGCGTCACTTCAAAATTGAAGCATCAAGTTGAGTCAGGAGGAGTTTGAAGCCTTTCTGTTTCAATATTTTTAGTAAGAAAGTTTTTGTTTTAGGAACACAACAAGCTCAATATATGCCCACGCAGGGGGCTGAGCATAACAATAACACAGAAACAGATACATCCTGCTGACTTGCATTAGCCAAATAACAAAATTTCCAATGACAGGAAGGACGGCGAAAAGCCGAACCAAATATTATCAGCAGTAGTCCAACATAAATACCGTGAGGAGAAGAGGAAAGAAAAAAGGTTAGAAGAAAAGGAAAAAGAAAATATAAATGAAAAAAACAAAAAAGAAAAAAAAAAAAAAAAAAGGGAATCAGAAAGAAAACAGAGGAAAGGGAGACTAGGAGAATCACGGATCCGGGGCTAGCACAGGCAGCAACTATAAGAGGCCATTACTAGTAGGGGGCAGGGATGGCAAGGAATATCGTATCCAAGGTTCCCAAACCTTAAGGAATCTCGGATGAGAATCATGAAGAATGCTAACATCTGTTCATTGATCAACATATCGTTCATCCGGGTCTTCACCCCCTGGAAGACAACCGAAGGGGTTCCCCAAGCTTGAGCTATTACACGTTTGGCCAAAATAAATAGATGGATGCCAGTTTCTGCTGAGATCTAGACAGACCCAAAATTGGGCAATGCAGGAGGGCCACCCTTGAATCCCTACGGACCGTAATATGAAATAGCGTTTGTAGGAAACCAAAAACCCTAGACCAGAAGCCTATCAATCGCGGGCACGACCACCAAATGTGCAAGACGTCCCTGTGTAGACCACAGTTCCAGAAACATCTATCTCCGCCAGTCGGATAAAAAGTGAGCAATCCAAGCCGGGACCCAGTACCACCGCAGGAGAACTTTGTAGGCTGCCTCAAGAGTGACTGTATTGAATGAACATTTTGCCACCATCCCCCAGGCCCTACGCCAATCCTCCACTGCAATCGAGCCACCCAGATCTCGCTCCCATTGAGAGACATAAGACAGGGGTGGTGAGGAGGACCTACTGTTAAGGGAGGCATAAATTACAGAAATGAGACCAGGGGACCCTGGGGAATGCTGACAAATGTGTTCAAACAATGTTTTGAGGTAAGGGTATGTAGAGGTACGACGGAAGGATAGGACCCAGTGGCGCAATTTCAAATACCGATAATATTCCCGTGGTGGGACCCCCCCTTGATTCTCGAAGAGACTCCCATGAAGGAAACGTACAAGCATTCAGAAAATCATGTACAATAACAAAGCCATGGGAGGTCCACCAAGAGAAAGAAGGTGGATGTTCTAGGCCTGGCGGAAATAAAGGATTATGCATGATCGGCAAAAGAGGTAGACATGATTAAATCAAAGTACCCGAATATTTTACAGAATCCCAGGTTCGTAAACTGTGAAGCATGATAGGGCTCAAATCCGGAGGGCGTAACTTAGGCTGGAGCCAAAGCAATGCAATTAAGGAAAGCGGAGCACAGTTGGGTAATTCCAAGAGTACCCATAACGGGTGTCAGGGCTCCCAGGTATGACCAGAGGTGTGTGACTGAAGCAGGGAAACGCAGACCTCAGACAGGTAGCAAGCAGCATAGTACAGAGGGTCAGGCAGAGGGATGGTCCGGGTCACAAGCCAGGGATCAGAACAGGTAGCAAGCAGCGTAGTACAGAGGGTCAGACAGAGGGATGGTCAGGGTCACAAGCCAGGATCAGAGCAGGAGAAGTCAGCAAAGGAACAGAAACAGGATGCAGGACAGATACAGGGCCCAGGACAAACACAACACCAAGGCAGAGTCTGCAAGTCTGGCCATCCCTTAAATACACCAGTATCATCAGTTCCAGGTGTTAGCTGGCTGAAAGGTTGAGTCTCTGATTGCTGGGAGCACCCGCTGGCCAGCCCTGGTACTGCAGATCAAAAGGCAGGTGAGTCCCACCATTGCTGGCCAGTCCATTCCTAACAGTACCCCCCCCTCAAGGAGCGGCCTCAGGACGCTCCAAACAGTCCTAGCTGGGCAAAATGTTCCACCGCCCGGGTCTGGCAACTGGCGGGATATCAAAGACTGGCACACCGGGCAGGACTCCGGGCAGCGGCACACCGGGCTGGCAGGACTCCGGGCAGAGGCACACCGGGCAGCACAGGCACACCGGGCAGAGGCACACCGGGCAGAGGCACATCGGGCAGAGGAGGCACATCGGGCAGAGGCACATCGGGCAGAGGCACATCACTCCGGGCAGAGGCACATCGGGCAGGCACTCGGGCAGGCACTCCGGGCAGAGGCACATCGGGCAGGACTCCGGGCAGAGGCACATCGGGCAGGACTCCGGGCAGAGGCACATCGGGCAGGACTCCGGGCAGAGGCACATCGGGCAGGACTACCAGAGGCACATCGGGGACTCCGGGCAGCAGGCACCGGGCCCCCGGGCAGGCGGAGCAGCAGGACCGGGCCCCCGGGCGGGCAGGCCCCGGGCCCCCGGGCGGGGCAGCAGGCACGGGCCCCCGGGCGGGGCAGGCACCAGGCAGGCACCGGGCCCCCGGGGGCACAGGCACCGGGCCCCCGGGCGGGGCGACAGGCACCGGCCCCCCCGGGGCGGGGGGCGCAGGCACCGGGCCCCCGGGCGGGGGCGACAGGCACCGGGCCCCCGGGGGGGCGGGCAGGCGGGGCCGGGCCCCCAGGCGGGGGCAGGCACCGGGCGGGGCGACAGGCCGGGCCCCCGGGCGGGGCGACAGGCACCGGGCCCCCCAGGCGGGGGCAGGCTCGGGCCCCAGGCCAGGTCGGGCCCCAGGCGGGGCGGCGGGGCCGGCCCCCAGGAGGGGCGACAGGTCTCGGGCCCCAGGCGGAGCGGCGGGCGCCGGCCCCCAGGCGGGAGCGGCTCGGGCCCCCAGGCGGAGCGGCGGGCGCCGGACCCCCAGCGACAGGTCTCGGGCCCTCAGGCGGAGCGGCGGGCGCCGGACCCCCAGGCGGAGCGACAGGTCTCGGGCCCTCAGGCGGAGCGGCGGGCGCCGGACCCCCAGGCGGAGCGACAGGTCTCGGGCCCTCAGGCGGAGCGGCGGGCGCCGGACCCCCAGATGGAGCGACAGGTCTCGGGCCCTCAGGCGGAGCGGCGGGCGCCGGACCCCCAGGTGGAGCGACAGGTCTCGGGCCCTCAGGCGGAGCGGCGGGCGCCGGACCCCCAGGAGGAGCGACAGGTCTCGGGCCCTCAGGCGGAGCGGCGGGCGCCGGGCCCCCCAGGAGGAGCGACAGGTCTCGGGCCCCCAGGCGGAGCGGCAGGTCTCGGGCCCTCAGGCGGAGGCAGGTCCGGGACCCCCAGGCGGAGCGACAGGTCTCGGCCCCCAGGCGGAGCGACAGGTCTCGGGCCCCCAGGGGGCGGCGGGCGCCGGACCCCCAGGCGGAGGCAGGGGGCAGGGAGCGGGCGCTGGACCCCCAAGCGGAGCAACAGGTCTCGGGCCCCCAGGCGGAGCGGCGGGCACCGAGACACCAGGCACGACAGTGGGCTCCGAGTCAACTGGTATGACCGCAGGCACTGGGTCAGACATTGGATGGTCTGGCTGGACAGCGGGCATCGGGTCACCAGGCATCAGGTCATTTGGCTCGACAGCGGGCACCGCGTCATCTGGCTCGACAGCGGGCACCGCGTCATCAGCAAGGCAGTGGGCTCCGAGTCAACTGGTATGACCGCGGGCACTGGGTCAGACATTGGATCGTCTGACGGACGGACAGCGGGCATCGGGTCACCAGGCATCAAGTCATTTGGCTCGACAGCGGGCACCGCGTCATCTGGCAAGGCAGTGGGCTCCGAGTCAACTGGCATGACCGCGGGCACGGGGCAGACATTGAATCGTCTGGCTGGACAGCGGGCATCGGGTCACCAGGCATCAGGTCATTTGGCTCGACCGCGGGCACCGCGTCATCTGGCAAGGCAGTGGGCTCCGAGTCAACTGGTATGACCGCGGGCACTGGGTCAGACATTGGATCGTCTGACTGGACAGCGGGCATCGGGTCACCAGGCATCAGGTCATTTGGCTCGACAGCGGGCACCGCGTCATCTGGCAAGGCAGTGGTCTCCGAGTCAACAGGCACGACAGTGGGCACCGGGTCATCAGGTACCGGATTGTCTGGCTCGACAGCGGGCATCGGGTCATCAGGTATGACAGCGGACACTAGGTCACCAGGCATCAGGTCATTTGGCTTGCCAGCGGGCACCGCGTCATCTGGCAAGGCAGTGGGCACCACCGAGTCACCAGGTACGACAGCGGGCTCTGAGTCAATTGGCACAGCGGGGGCACCGGATCAGGTACCGGATCATCTGGATCAACAGCGGGCATCGAGTCAACTGGCCTAATAGGATCGTCAGGCATCAGTTCATCATGCTGGGTAGAGGCATCAGGGCCGAGTAGAGGCTTCAGGAGGATCAGGCCGAGTAGAGGCATCAGGCCGAGTAGAGGCATCAGGCCGAGTAGAGGCATCAGGCCGAGTAGAGGCATCAGGCCGAGTAGAGGCATCAGGCCGAGTAGAGGCATCAGGCCGAGTAGAGGCATCAGGCCGAGTAGAGGCATCAGGCCGAGTAGAGGCATCAGGCCGAGTAGAGGCATCAGGCGAGAGGTCAGGCCGAGGCTTCAGGCCGAGTATCAGGCTTCAGGCCGAGTAGAGGCTTCAGGCCGAGTAGAGGCTTCAGGCCGAGTAGAGGCTTCAGGCTTCAGGCCGAGTAGAGGCTTCAGGCCGCGTAGAGGCTTCAGGCCGAGTAGAGGCTTCAGGCCGAGTAGAGGCATCAGGCTGCGTACAGGCATCAGTCTGAACCACGGAAGGCAGGCTCACCGGTTTGGATACTGGCAGGATGGTATTGGTTGGAAAGAATTTTCGCTTTTTTCTGGTTTTAACTACTGGAGCACTGCAAGTAAACGCAGGTCTGCAAACGAATGGAGCAGCTGGAGACAGAGAAGAACTGGAGGATGGAACAGGAGAGGGAGCAGTTGCTACAGAGGGCTTTTTTACAGGGTTAAAGGCAGGATAGGTGCAGCGAGTGGGAACAGGGTACTGACATGCGGTAGATAGCCAAGTATACTGGGCTGTAACTGGAGGAGCTGGTGGGAATACAGGAGTAGAGTTAGAAGCAGGACTGGGTCTTTGTAAGCTGACTGAGGCTGGGTGCAACAAATCTGTCCATGTCTGCAGTAGGGGTTGAACAAAGCTGAGCTTACACAAAGTCTGTCTGGTCAATGACTGCACTGCGTTTATACAATCTCTCAGTGTCTGTGGTGAACATGTGGAATAACGCTCCAGAAAGTAACCCACATCATCCTCTAATAACCACACCAGGGACTCTACCTGGTCTGCACTAAATGGTGGCAAAAATTCATCCCTGCATTCGGGGGAACCAGATGAAACCAACTCTGCACAAACCTCAATCAATGGCTGCACCTCAGAGAACACTGTGCCCTGATCTACTAGAACATGAGCGAGCCGTATACATTCTAGCAATTCATCCCGGGTATACTCCTTCAGAGTTTGATAAGCATACTCCCTGTCATCAAAACACTAGCAGATATAAATACTCAACCTCCTCAAGATCCATCCTTCCCATCAACAAGCCAAGATGGCTTCCCTGTGCAGCCACTTCTGGTCAGGATTGGCCTTGGTGTAATGTCAGGGCTCCCAGGTATGACCAGAGGTGTGTGACTGAAGCAGGGAAACGCAGACCTCAGATATGTTATAAAACAATATAATTTATTAACACTAACAGTACAAACATAAACGCAGTGCAATACTAAAACATAATACGGTGCAAACAAACCAAACCAAACCACCCACAGATAACAGTATATACAAGCAAGCGTCGTCAGGCAGGCCGGGTCAATATCAATTGGGCAGGTAGGTACAGGGGGAGCAAGCGGAGAATGGTCGGGGTCACAGGCCAGGTTCAGCAGGTAGCAAGCAGCATAGTACAGAGGGTCAGGCAGAGGGATGGTCCGGGTCACAAGCCAGGGATCAGAACAGGTAGCAAGCAGCGTAGTACAGAGGGTCAGACAGAGGGATGGTCAGGGTCACAAGCCAGGATCAGAGCAGGAGAAGTCAGCAAAGGAACGGGATATCTGTCGTGGCATGAAGCATAGACAACTGGGAAATCTGAGCCACCAAGTAACATCTAGAAACGCGTGGAACTCCCAAACCTCCCTGTAATCTATGCGTATACAGAGTGGCTCTAGGCACTCTGGGATGTTTATGAGCCCAAATAAAACTGAGAATCCGGCTTTGCAGTACACAAAGAAAAAACGCAGGGACCTGGATAGGAAGAGTACGAAAAAAGTACAGGATCTTCGGCAAGATAGTCATCTTGACAGCATGTATCCGGCCAATCCAAGATAATGAAGGAAACTGCCAAGAATGAAGCAGGGAAGGGGTAATAATTAGCCAAAAATAAAGTAGAGTAGGAGGAAGTAAGTGTAACGCCAAGATAAGCCAGAGAATGGGATGCCCAACGGTAGGGAAATTGTGTCTGCAACCGTTCAACCAGGTCGGCAGGGAGCGTAATATTGAATGCCGTGGTTTTAGACAAATTGATGCGGAGGCCAGATATAGTCGAAAAGCAGTCCAATATGACCTGGAGATTGGGGAGAGTGATGAGAGGATTGGTTAAAACCAAAAGGGCATCATCCGCATAAAAGTTTGCTTTTTATTTAGTGTCGGCATAGGGGACACCAGAAATATCCGGGTGATTTTGAATGGCTGCAGCTAAAGGTTCAAGAGCGAGAACAATAGGAGCAGGTGCTAATAGACATCACAGGTGTCTCGTGACCCTGAAAAAAGGGAAGGATGAGGAAAAAAATCCTGCATTGTTAACAGAGGCAGAGGGAGACAAATATAAAGCCGAGATCCAAGCCAGAAATGCATCACCAAACCCCCATCTAGACAGCGTATATGTCAAATATTCCCAAGAAAGTGAATCGAATGCTTTATAAATGTCCAGGGATAAAAGGAACCCTGGTATCCTGCGACGATGTAAAATATGAATGAGATGGATGATTTTACGGATGTTATCAGTAGCTTGTCGTCCCGGAACAAAGCCAACCTGATCTCGATGAATAAGGGAGAGTAGATACTTATTAATTTGGGTTCTCAGAATCTTTCCCAAAATCTTCAAGTCGACATTTAGCAGTGAGATCGGTCTGAAAGCTTGCGGTTCAAAAGCATCTTCAGTTTTCTTAGGGATCATATTAATATGCGCCTGAAGAGACTAAAAAGAAAGCCGGGAACCCTGCTTCAAAGAATTGAAAAAGGCCATCAAGTGAGGAACCAGAACGGTGGCAAATTTTTTATAGTAAAGCCCAGAAAACCCATCTTAGCCTGGAGCCTTGGAGGCCTTCAAAGATTTGATGGCTTGGTAGAGTTCAGATTCAGAGATATCCACATTCAGGGCATCTCGGGCTGCAACGGATAAAGAGGGTAGGTGCAGCTCAGCGACAAAATTATCAGCATGTTCAGTGACAAAGGTGTTCGGTTTTTGGTATAGAGAAGACAAAAAGTCCGCAAATCTATGTGTAATCTTCATAGGGTCCTAGGTAAGGCCACCACCCCTCATTCCGAGTTGAATAGGTTTATGCGTGCGACCAAGAGAATTAAGTTTCTTGGCCAACATTGGCCCCGGTTTATTGGCGCTTGTATAAAACTTATGTCCGGCCCAATGTAATGCTTTCTCAGCTCGTGTAGTGGAGAGAAGATCAAGTTCAGCAGCCACCACATCTCGAGCTTTCCTGTTGGCCGTAGTTGGGCAGGCTTGCCAAGTAGCGTCCACCACGGCCAATCTCGAGGTTAATTCCGACATCCTCCTCTGTCTGGCCCTTTTCCTGGATGAGGCAATCTTAATCAAATGACCCCTAATGGCGGCTTTGTGAGCCTCCCACAGAGTGACAGCCGAGGATACAGAACCCACATTGTCCGTAAAATAGGACTGAATGTGCGAAAGAACCTGGGAGCAAGAAGCCTGAGTGGTGAGCAGGGATTCGTTGAGTCTCTACAAAAAAGAGGGCTGAGCCATACTAGAAAGAGTTTGAAGCCTTTCAACGCCTGTCAAACGCTTACAAAACACTTTTAAAACTGCACATAGGGAGTTTGGGGAGCGGTTTTTCACCACTTGCCTCCTGCCCAGGTCAATTTTCAGCTTTCAGCGCTGTCACACTTTGCATGACAATAGCGCGGTCATGCAACACTGTACCGATATGAAATTTTTAGCATTTTTTTTTCACACAAATAGAGCTTTTTTTTGGTATTTAATTGCTGCTGGGTGTTATATTTTTTTAGCTATAAACAAAAAAGCTACAAATTTGAGAAAAAAAAGTTTTTCTTTGTTCCTAATATAAAATTTTTCAAACAGGAAATTTTTCTCCTTCGCTGATGTGCGTTGATGAGGCTGCACTGATGGGCACTGATGGGTGGCACTGATAGACGGCACTGTTGAGGTGGCACGGATAGGCAGCACTGATAGGCACTGATAGGCGGCACTGATATGCAACAATGATGGGCACTGATAGGCAGCACTGATGGAAAGCACTGATGGGTGGCACTACTAGGCACTGATGGGCACAGGTGGGTGGCACTGCTTGGCACTGATGGGCACAGTTGGGCAGCACTGAATGGCAGCACTGGTGGGTGGCACTGCTGGGCACTGATCATCAGTGCCCTGATGATCGGTGCCGATCCGTCCTCTGATAATTGCCGGTTATCGGCAGTACTTTGCTCATGCTGTGACAATGCAGCCGATAACCGGCAACTGCATTCACCAGTGATCTGCTGTGTCATTGGACACAGCTGATCACGTGGTAAAAAGCCGCTGTGATTGGCCTTTTACCACATCACGTGTTCAGCTGTGTCTGTAGGACACAGCAATCAAGGAGATCGCCAGGTGTGCGCCCCTGGGGTGCACAGGAGGGCGTATTCTGGGAAGACGTCACATGACGCCCTCCCAGGACTGGGCAACCACGCTGTAGCCATATTTTGGCTATAGCGCAGTTGGCAAGTGGTTAATGCTTGTAAAAAAACCAGTCTAACACCCATAATGAAGCTCATTAATGCCTGTCT